ACGGGCTGCTTCCCGGGGGGTGTGTAACAAAAAAGAGGCCTGGTCGAGGACCGGGCCGCGGGGACGCTAAGCCCCGAAATCATCTCAAGATAACTTCAAAATAGCCCGGCCCGAGGCCAGGCTTGACTTGTGAGAGACACCCTAACCTAACCTGACCCTAATTGAGACAGGGGCGAGTTGTTGTTATAGATTCAGCTACTCGAAACAAGTTCCAAGTAGCACGGGCTATGGTGAGCCCGTAACTTACCTGGCACAGGAGCGGGGCAAGTAGCACGGGCTATGGAGAGCCCGTAGTGGACTTACCTGGCACAGGAGCAGTGCTGTGAGGGGTGAGTGTCCAGCTTCCGTTTAGTACAGGTCTTCATGAAGAACAAATTCCGTGCATTACATTTCCTTCACCTGGATTACCGGAGAAAGTTCAGAATCCTGAGGATACAAATTACTTGACTGTTGACCTCCCCACCAGGCCATGGATGCTCATAAGGAAAGATCTAGGAGGTACCTGAGACTTCCTTCTCGTACATTATAGTATAGTAACAGACGCAGTTGCTTAATATGCGCGAGACATCTCCCGTCACGCAGGGTGCAGTCGCACCTCCACAGATCTCCAGTGTCATCTATTGATACTGGTAATGGCTCAATAGGGCCACCACTTACGGGCTATTCGTGCCCGTGCCACCTTTGGGTGGCTTAATCTTTTGTGATTGTGATGAACACAATTGAGGTTATCTTGAGATGATTTCGGGGCTTTTAGTGTCCCCGCGGCCCGGTCCTCGACCAGGCCTCCACCCCCAGGAAGCAGCCCGTGACAGCTGACTAACTCCCAGGTACCTATTTACTGCTAGGTAACAGGGGCATTCAGGGTGAAAGAAACTTTGCCCATTTGTTTCTGCCTCGTGCGGGAATCGAACCCGCGCCACAGAATTACGAGTCCTGCGCGCTATCCACCAGGCTACGAGGCCCACCTTAATCTTAATCTTCATCAATCATCAATCAGTTGCTGACCATGAGCCACCCCTCACTGAAGTATCTAGCAGGGAAGACCATTCGCTCAACACGAAGTATGTGCTAGGAGAGGACAGGCGCGCGGGCTATAGAAATATGCCCAAATACAAGCTTGAATTAGAGAGCTTTATTCGTAACAATTTTAACAAATCGGTAAATGATTTTTAGGGGAGTTATTACATAACTACATCACAATCACATGTGCGAACGAGCCTGAATGGTCCCCAGGACTATATGCGACTGAAAACTCACACCCCAGAAGTGACTTGAACCCATACTCCCAGGAGCAACGCAACTGGTATCTACAGGACGCCTTAATCCGCTTGACCATCACAATCACATAAAAATTATTTCTGACTAGAGATGTAGAAACTAATGTAAACAAGTTGAAAGTATCATGCAAAGTCAGAGACAATCAACAAAAACACATTATCAATTCAAGAAACCCCAAATATCCCTATAGAAAATATAAACCAAAAAAATCACTTCTAGTTTAAGGTCCTTGTTTAAGGGCCCAACAGCACTTACCCAAGACAACAAAGGAAATGAGCACAATATCAAGGGACAGTATTAGCAACACTCGATTTCTGAGGACCACAAAACACTTAAGACGTCATCTAAATGCCCCCTGACACAGACACTAGGATTGTATATTAGAATCAGAATACATATAGACATTCCGATGCGGGTGTCCAGGGTTGGGGGTGAGACATCCTGATGGGGGGGGGAGGATACATTCTGATAAATTGCCGTCAGGTGAGCGTGAGAAGACATTCTGATAGGGTGTCGTCAACGGAGGTGGGTGGGGGGGGGGGAGGAAGACATTCTTATGGTGAAATATTACCAAAGGGAAGCCATGCTGATGGTGAGAGAACTTCAGGGGGGAGCCGTATCGTCTTCCACAACAGGATCGTTGATCGTGAGTTATCTGCATTGGGGTTTTGGCCCATTTTGACGAGGTCGTTTGCTGGGCCGCAGTTTGTGTGGCCAGTACGACACAGGTATAAAGGGGGGGATCTAAATTGAATTACCATAATAAAGGGGGAAATAGAAGAAAACTACGAAACCCTTCAGTGTAGGGAGATAGTGTATGGAGAGAGAGAAAGAGAGAGATAGAGGAGAGAGGGGAAGGACGCCAGTGCTGGAATGCCATGCTGGAAAATTGTTATTCTGCAACGAAAATAAATTTTTACAACCCCAAGAGATCCAGGAGTGGACAGGTCTGGAATGTGTATATTGTTGTTGGTGAACAGGGCTGGAATGTGTATACTGATGTGGGCAGACAGGTGTGAATTGTGTACATTGCTGTGGGGGAGATAGGTATGGATTATGTATATTGTGGATAGACAGCTGAATAACTTTGTGTATAACTGTTTAAGTAAACAGGTCTTGGAATGCATATAGTTTTCGTTCTATGGTGTGGTGTTTGACAGTGTTGTATTTGTCTCCTGTCTTTATATCTTATGTCTTATCTTATCTTTATATCTCCTGTCTCCTGATTTTACAATAGGCCTAGCGCAAGAGCATGAACCTACCTAAGCCGGAAATTTTGCGATCTTCTATAATTCCCACTCCTAGTGTCATTTTTCAAAAGGTGATTCGGTACGCAAAATTAGCCTCTCTTTCCTTAGACAACATAAGAGGTATGTTGGTTAGAAGAAGTTTTAGAGAACAGCCTAAAAAAAATCCACAATGGTTGTGTTTGGAATACAAAGACAAAGATCGTGCCATGTTTGGGACGGGTGAAAAGTCACACGGATGAAAAGATCAAACGAAGGGTCGGTAAGGAAATGTGATACGGGATCCTGGGAGTGTCTAGAATAGCAAACTGGAATGGGAAATCTATCACAGAAATGTGTAACGATCCTTCGGAAAACATTATAATATTATATATATATATATATATATATATATATATATATATATATATATATATATATATATATATATATTGTGTATGTATATTATATATGTATATTATATATATATAATTTACATATATAATATACATATATATATTATATATATATATATATATATATATATATATATATATATATATATATATTGTGTATGTATATTAGTATGTAGTAATAATATTACTTTTACAAAAGCAGAGTCGGGGAAGAAAACGTTCATCTACGGACGAACGTTTGTGGATGAACGTTCGTCCAAGGTCTGTTGATGTTGATTTAAAAAGATTCAGCTAATCGGAACAAAAACTTCCAAGCAGCACGGGCTATGGTGAGCCCGCCATACTTACCTGACACAAATGTGGCCATAAGGCCTCCGTGATCATGTCACACGGACATACGGTCACTGTCTCTGGAAGGGTTCACCAGTCAGGTCCGTGTGACTGGAGTAATTATTGATTGATTGATGAAGATTACTCCACCCATGAGGTGGCATGGGCATGAATAGCCCGTGAGTGGTAGATGTTTGGAGCGAATATGATTAATTATGAAGCCCCGGTATAATGATATAATAGACGTATCTATCCCATTCGGATCATTACACGAAAACTAGTTTTGAATTCTTGCCAGCGCCATTGGGGGGGGGGTATGTTTACGACACTGAAAATACTGCACATTCAATGTAAACGCAAAACATTGCCGCCTCGGTAATGATTCAACGTAGAACCATTATCATGATGACAAAACCACACATTAGAAAGTGAAGGGACAACGACGTTTCGGTCCGTCCTGGACCATTTTCAAGTCGATTGTGGCCATTCTGAAGTCGATTCTCACAATCGACTTGAGAATGGTCCAGGACGGACCGAAACGTCGTCGTCCCTTCACTTTCTAGTGTGTGGTCTGGTCAACATATTTCAGCCACGTCATTGTGACTCTTCGTCTGCACCATTATCATGTCAACTCATTATGACAGCCACGTCATTGTGACTCTTCGTCTGCACCATTATCATGTCAACTCATTATGACAGCCACGTTATTGTGACTCCTCGTCTGCACCATTATCATGTCAACTCATTATGACAGCCACGTCATTGTGACTCTTCGTCTGCACCATTATCATGTCAACTCATTATGACAGCCACTCGTCCACAGGACCCAATTTCTGAAATTTTGGAACAACATTCGAAAGAAACTGTTATAAACAGAGATGAATCCAAACGGACAATTTGATCAACGGAATCCAGAGCCAAATATCTGAAACTACTCAATCTGATTTTCAAACTAAATGGTGAAGGTTTGAGTGAGAAGCGAGAATGATTAAAACTGGAATGATGAAGCAATGAGCATGAGACTGAAACTACAAGAGCTGTTGTAATCATAGGCCACAGGCACCGCTCCTGTGCCAGGTAAGTTCACTACGGGCTCACCATAGCCCGTGCTACTTGCACCGCTCCTGTGCCAGGTAAGTCCACTACGGCCTCACCATAGCCCGTGCTACTTGCACCGCTCCTGTGCCAGGTAAGTCCACTACGGGCTCACCATAGCCCGTGCTACTTGGAACTTGTTCCGAGTAGCTGAATCTATAACAACAACTGAATCATAAGTAAAAGATTAATTGGAATGGTGCAACGAGTCAGAGGCTAAAGAGGAAATGGAGTAGTGAAACAAATGAAAGGTGATACAAGAAGAATTGGAATAGTACGGTTAATGAGGAAAAAAAACTGAATTACAGTTGAGCCTAAACAAAATAAACAAATATAAGTAAAAAACGAATGAAAGACTTAACCAAAAACACAAAAATAACGCAATACAAGTACTGAACAAACAAACTGAAATAAATGCAAAACCACGAGGAATGACGAAGGGCAAATCCACGAACGAGGTGACCAGAACGAGGTCAATGAAATAGAGAACGATCAGGTCAATGAAATAAAGAACGATCAGGTCAATGAAATAGAGAACGATCAGGTCAATGAAATAAAGAACGATCAGGTCAATGAAATAGAGAACGATCAGGTCAATGAAATAAAGAACGATCAGGTCAATGAAATAAAGAACGATCAGGGCAATGAAATATAGAACGATCAGGTCAATGAAATAGAGAACGATCAGGGCAATGAAATAGAGAACGATCAGGTCAATGAAATAAAGAACGATCAGGTCAATGAAATAAAGAACGATCAGGTCAATGAAATAAAGAACGATCAGGTCAATGAAATAAAGAACGATCAGGTCAATGAAATAAAGAACGATCAGGTCAATGAAATAAAGAACGATCAGGTCAATGAAATAAAGAACGATCAGGTCAATGAAATAAAGAACGATCAGGTCAATGAAATAAAGAACGATGACAATATTGTGAGTGTAATTCCACACCCTAACCTAACCTTCCTGAGTACAGACAGAGGAAGAAATCGTAATGTCTGAGAAACTCTCCCTTGAAGTTTTTATTTAAGAAATACAAATTGGATTTTTTGGTCTAATGTGAACTTAGTTAATGCAGGGAGTAAAGGATACACAGTGTGACCATAAACACACACGACTTTAAATCACGAATATTCAATGGAAACTAATTTAAAAAAGTCAACTTTTTGTTAAATTAACAGAACAGATAAAAGTTAGCACTCAAAGAGAGAGAGAGAGAGAGAGAGAGAGAGAGAGAGAGAGAGGAGAGACAAATATCATTAGCACTAGCAGAGGCAAACTTAAAGCTGAACGATCCAGTGTTACGAAAATAAAAGCAGGCTTCGAAATGAAATTCGAATTGGGTTTTACATCCGACAGAATATAACATTCTTTCTAAACGAGTAGCAAAAAGGGGGAGAGATGGAGGGGAGTGGGGGATGGGAGTGGGGGATGGAGGGGGGGAGAGGGAAGAGGGGGGGGAGAGGGAAGAGGGAGGGAAGAGGGGGGGGAGAGGGAGGAGGGGGGGAGAGGGAAGAGGGGGGGGAGAGGTAAGAGAGGGGGGAGAGGGAGGAGGGGGGGAGAGGGAGGAGGGGGGGGGGAGAGGGAGGAGGGGGGGGGGAGAGGGGAGGAGGGGGGGGGGGAGAGGGAGGAGGGGGGGGGGGGGGAGGGAGGGAGGGGGGGGAGAGGGAGGAGGGGGGGGGGAGAGGGAGGAGGGGGGGGGGAGAGGGAGGAGGGGGGGGGAGAGGGAGGAGGGGGGGGAGAGAGGGAGGAGGGGGGGGGGGGAGAGAGGAGGAGCGGGGAGAGGGAGGAGGGGGAGAGGGAGGATGAGAGAGAGAGAGAGAGAGAGAGAGGAGAGAGAGAGAGAGAGAGACACACACACACACACACACACACACACACACACACACACACACACACACACACACACACACACACACACACACACACACACACACACACACACACACGTGAAAGAGGTAGGGGGTGGCCAGGAAAAATTCCACTTGGTAATTGCCTGTCTAAAAATATATACTATATACGGAACACATCGAATACGAAATATTTGAGAAAATCAGAGGAACAAATCCAGAGGAGAAATGCTCGAAATTTGCAATGCACAAAAATAAAAAACTGCTATGGCCTACATACGTACGTGTGTGTGTGTGTGTGTGTGTGTGTGTGTGTGTGTGTGTGTGTGTGTGTGTGTGTGTGTGGTGTGTGTGTGTGTGTGTGTGTGTGTGTGTGCGTGCGTGCGTGCGTGCGTGCGTGCGTGCGTGCGTGCGTGCGTGCGTGCGTGAGTGCGTGCGTGCGTGCGACCATGTACGGGACGAAAGGGGGGGTGTGAGAGATGTACTTGCTTACTGAGTAACAAAAGTGCTGATTAAGCTTGGTACTGTTTAAAGCCGCCAGTGTTAGCTTAATAACACAGTTCGACTTCCTAAAACTTGAAAAAAAAAAGAGTCAAACCGGAAGGGACAAGGCACTATGGCCCGATACGACCGCTGGGCTTATCCATGTTTACCTAAACTGATTACCCAAAAAGAACACACAATGCAAATTTATCAATAAAAAAACGAGAATACTTGTTTTCACAAGTAGAAGTTGTTTTCATGTTGTTCATGTTGTTTCATGTTTTCATGTTGTTCATGTTGTTTCATGTTTTCATGTTGTTTTCATGTTCACAAGTTGTTTTCACGAGAAGAAGCACAAACTAACCCTGACTGAGGGGAAATACAGTAAATAAAAATAATAAATTAGATAATAAGTAATAAATAATTAAAATATGGTTCAAGAGAACGGGGAAACGAATAAAAAAGAATAGAAAGAAAGACGAAGACCAACACGAACAAAGATGAGACACTAAGAACACCACTAAGAAAGAGCATGAGCAATTCAAACCAACAAAAGATGATGCACAAATTACAGTTCCACAATATGGATGGTACCATTTCCCGGGCACTGTAGCCAGATACACGTCCAGTCCCTTATTCACTGTTATTACGGCTCTCGACCCTCACAGCACGAGACCTCTTAATTGCCTAAATTGGCAGCATCCGTGGTAACCCCCCCCCACTCCTCTTCCCTAGATTACACCCACCAAGGAGCTAGGATACGAGAACAATTGTTCTTGTAAGGCACGTATATCCATCACTTGCCATTTATATTTAGAGGGGACGGTGTTGGAAAGTATTGGTGGATATGTGGGCCTGCAAGCCGTTCCCAGCAACAACCTATTGGACCAAGTTATCGAAAGACAAGCTTGGACCCAGGCCGGCCTTGTGGGGTATTAGAGTTTCTAAAACTCCATGTATTACGGGTTCTTCATCTCTTAAGGAATTATCACCAAGAGTAAGTATTGCACTCTTACTAAGTTATTCTGAACATTTTGCGCTATCTCAGGGTCTGGAAAATAAGTACTTCAACGTGGGAGACGCCAGAAAAAAAGGAAATCCCCAATACCACGGAAAATACGGTGAAACATGGAATAAGACACGTAAGCGTTAAATACACATTTACAGGAATAGGTAACACGCTGCCATATGCACACTGTAGTAGTAGATAAAGACAGGCTATTTACCACCAGGGGCACACGCACTAGGGGGGACACAGGTGGAAATTGAGTGCCCAAATGAACCATAGAGACGTTAGAAAGAATTTTTTCAGTGTCAGTAGTAGACAAATGGAATGCAATAGGAAGTGATGTGTGGTGGAGGCTGACTCCATACACAGCTTCAAGTGTAGATATGATAGAGCCCAATAGGCTCAGGAACCTGTACAGTAGTTGATTGACAGTTAAGAGGTGGGACCAAAGAGCCAGAGCTTAACCCCCGCAAGCACAATTAGGTAAGTACACTAGGGCGAGTGGTGGGGTGTCCTGACCTTGAAAGAAAGTCAACCAACAAAATTATATTGGAAGGAGATACGCTGAAGAAGCACATCGATATATGGAGGAGTCCATGGACAAGGTGCCATGATGTCAAATTTCACGAACGCTAAAATAAATCAACACAGGACAAAGGAGAAGAGCAAAGTGATGAGCTAGAAACTAATAAACAAGAATTAGGAGTGAAAGTTATATCACCGCGAAAGCCAAGACTGTTGCAGGAGGTGGCTAATAAATAACCAACCTATCAGATAGAGAAAATATGAGGACGAGGCAGCAGAAAACGATAACGAAGTATGCAAGGAAATCACTTTGAAAATTCATGGTACATACAGAGGCCGGAAGGACTGCCGCCCTCTGCTATTCATTTTATGATTAAAGGTAAGTGATGTTCTTTTTATGCCAATATAAAGCTTAAGAGATACTGAAATGAAACCCAAACGAAAGAAATAAGTTATCAGTAAGACAAAACCATAAGTTATCCCAATATCACTGTGGATACTAAACGAGGCAGCAGGAATACTGTGTAAACCACTGTGGATAATATAGAACTACAATTTAGAGAAAGGAGACCTCCAAGAAATATGGAAAGAAAATAATGTGAAATCAATAATTAAGGAAAATACAAAGACACACTAACAAACGACAGGAGGGAGGGAGAGAGGGGGGGGGGGGTCAGAGAAGGTAGAGGAAGGGTAGGGAAGAAGAGGGAGGCGGGGAGAGGGGGAAGAGAGAGCGAGAGAGAGACTGTCCTGTCTTGAGTACTGCTCAATACTCACTTCCCCCTTCAGAGCAGGAGAGATTGCTGAAATAGAAACAGATGGAGTACAGAGAACATATACAGCATACATAGACGCGATAAAGTACCTAAATTATTGATATCGTCTCAAAGCTCTTCAAATGAACTCGCTTGAAAGGAGAGAGATAGATACCAAATAATGTACACGTGGAAAATACTGGAGGACCAGGTCCCAACCCACACAGTAAAATAATAATCGTCCACACCGCGATTATATTCGCGAGCGCATATTGAAGTGCGTCTGCGGGGCCAAATATATTGACTACGATGAAGGTGCAAGTGGCAACACAGCGAGGGGTACGATGGACACGATGTACAAAGGCAAGCCTGCAGAAATGTTGAATGGTAAATTATACTTAGTTTTGATTAGAAACAGGTGCATGGGAGAGAGGGAAGGGGAGAGAGGGAAAGGGAGAGAGGGAAGGGGAGGAGAGGGATATGGGAGAGAGGGATGGGGGGAGAGAGAGGGATGGGGGAGAGAGGGAAGGGGAGAGAGGGAAGGGGGGAGAGAGGGAGGGGAGAGAGGGAAGGGGAGAGAGAGGGAAGGGAGAGAGGGAAGGGGGAGAGAGGGAAGGGAGAGAGGGAGGGGAGAGAGGGAAGGGAGAGAGGGAAGGGGAGAGAGGGAAGGGGAGAGAGGGAAGGGAGAGAGGGAAGGGAGAGAGGGAAGGGGAGAGAGGGAAGGGGAGAGAGGGAAGGGGAGAGAGGGAAGGGGAGAGAGGGAAGGGAGAGAGGGAAGGGGAGAGAGGGAAGGGGAGAGAGGGAGAGGGGAGAGAGAGAAGGGGAGAGAGGGAAGGGAGAGAGGGAAGGGAGAGAGGGAAGGGAGAGAGGGAAGGGGAGAGAGGGAAGGGGAGAGAGGGAAGGGGAGAGAGGGAAGGGAGAGAGGGAAGGGGAGAGAGGAAGGGGAGAGAGGGAAGGGAGAGAGGGAAGGGGAGAGAGGGAAGGGGAGAGAGGGAAGGGAGAGAGGGAAGGGAGAGAGGGAAGGGAGAGAGGGAAGGGAGAGAGGGAAGGGGAGAGAGGGAAGGGGGAGAGAGGGAAGGGAGAGAGGGAGGGAAGGGGAGAGAGGGAAGGGAGAGAGGGAAGGGGAGAGAGGGAAGGGGAGAGAGGGAAGGGGAGAGAGGGAGGGGGAGAGAGGGAAGGGAGAGAGGGAAGGGGAGAGAGGGAAGGGGAGAGAGGGAAGGGAGAGAGGGAAGGGAGAGAGGGAAGGGGGGAGAGAGGGAAGGGGAGAGAGGGAAGGGGGAGAGAGGGAAGGGGAGAGAGGGAAGGGGAGAGAGGAAGGGGAGAGAGGGAAGGGAGAGAGAGGGAGAGGGGAGAGAGGGAGGGGAGAGAGGGAAGGGGAGAGAGGGAAGGGGAGAGAACAGGGGGAGAGAACAGGGGAGAGGGGGAGAGAACAGGGGAGAGGGGGGGAGAGAACAGGGGAGAGGGGGAGAGAACAGGGGAGAGGGGGGAGAGAACAGGGGAGAGGGGGAGAGAACAGGGGAGAGAGGGGAGAGGGGGAGGAGAGAACAGGGGAGAGGGGGAGAGAACATGGGAGGGAGAGAGTACAGGGGAGAAAATCAGTGAGGGGAAGGGGGGCCCTCACAATAAGAGGGGAGGGGGCCCTCCCTCCCTCCCTCCCCGAGGGAGGGAGGGAGTCGACAAACCAACAGACAAACTGCCAAGCAATTGATGGTGTCAACCACCCATGGTGTTAACTGCCTTGTTTGGGAGGGGGTCAACTTGCCGCCCCGCGGTGATAGTTAGAATCAACGTCTCTCGCTTGTCACGCCCCATTTATCATTTGTATACACCTCAGGTGCATGTGCTTTCCCTCAGACTCCAATTGTCTGCACCTGTGTGTGCAGCAGACAATTTGAGCCCGTCTGCACCTCCATCCTCCTGCTTAAATAGTAGGAGGATGGACTATTTATTTTACAGGCTCAAGTAAAGTACAGGCTTTAGCTTTACAAGCTAAATCCAAACTTAAAATATTCCTAAACCTAATATAGCACATGTATGTACTATGTACATACACAGTACATAGGATGTATTGTTCCTGTGGCCTCAGCGTGTATTAAGCCTAGGATGGTTAAGTTACGTTTTATTTGCAACATGAATATAAAACCTATTCCGGTTTGTCAACCAATTTGTATTTTCAAATTTTTCAATACGTCAATATATATACGATGGTGTACATGGTTACTATAAATACTATCTTAACATGAGGATGGTCAGCTGTTTGTTGGAGGGTGTCTGGGTGTGGGAGTGGGGGGATGGGGGTGTGGGGCTGAGGATGGGGGTGTGGGGGCTGAGGATGGGGGTGTGGGGGCTGAGGATGGGGGTGTGGGGCTGAGGATGGGGGTGTGGGGCTGAGTATGGGGGTGTGGGGGCTGAGGATGGGGGTGTGGGGGCTGCTCATTTTAGCACTGGCAGGACATGAGAAATATGTAATGTTTCGAAAGTGTTCTTGTAAGCTATAGTAATGTGTCCCAGATCAGCATGTCCTGCTGATGAGAATCAGTTAGCATGTAGTCCCCCTGTCTAATGTCTACTCCAGAATACTTTCCTTACTGACCCTGGAAAGTTCCTCCTCTGGATTACGTATTGTTCCTATGATCTCTCTATTCCCGTTGATATCCTTATGGCCAACTGTGCCTGAAACTTATCCTCGTCTTCCTAAAGTCTTTCGCAGCCCTCTTTGGTGCCGGGACCCCCCCACCTCCTCCTCAGCAACTTTACTGTTGACAAACAATGACACAGTGAGTCTGGCTCACCGTAAATTACTGGCTCATAAGTAAATTTTATTTACGTATGCTGTACTAAGAATAGCAAGGGTCCTAACACAGACCCGTCGAGGGATTCCAACAAAGACGTTGCCCCCCATCCCAATGCCACTCTCCTACTGTTTCCTGTTATCTTGAGATGATTTCGGGGCTTTAGTGTCCACGCGGCCCGGTCCTCGACCAGGCCTCCACCCCTAGGAAGCAGCCCGTGACAGCTGACTAACACCCAGGTACCTATTTTACTGCTAGGTAACAGGGGCATAGGGTGACAAACTCTCCCCCATTGTTTCTCGGGATCGAACCCGGGACCACAGGATCACAAGTCCAGTGTGCTGTCCGCTCGGCCGACCGACTCCCTGTGTGTTTGGGAGGCAGACAACTTACTACCACTCGCTATTGTCTGGTTATTTAACTTGCACGGGCATGTCTTAGACAGGATAATAACTAATAAACATGACCACAGTCTCCTCATGTCTCATGTCAGTCAATCGATCATACAAATTACAATAGGCTTTCGAAGAATGACTTTCCCAGGAGCCGAGTCAGTGCTTTCAGAAGTTAGTTTTCTACAGTTTCTCTACTGCTCTCTCTCTCTCTCTCTCTCTCTCTCTCTCTCTCTCTCTCTCTCTCTCTCTCTCTTTAACACTTTGCATGATAAGCTTGTTCGAGACACTGGTTTGTACTCAAGTAGTTCCTTTCAAGTCGTTCCTGTCTCTCCCCGATTTTGTATATTGGTATACGGAAAAAAACTGCCTTCGTAATCAGGAGGGATGATGGAATGTGCAGAATGTAAAAGCAAAGGTATGCGTATGCTAGGAGACAATTCCTTCAACATTAAGGGACCAAGACTTTTCAACACTCCTACTAAACTTAAGGGCCATAACGAGCCGACCACTTTCGCTGGTAAAAATGGAACTTGATATAAACACCCTCAAATAATATCTGATCAACTGAACTGTAAATCGTAAGTTAAACTGCAAGCAGTGTCATCCAACAGCCTGGATGACCAGACGGCCAAAACGGAGGCCTGGTCAGAGACCGGGCCGCGGGCA